TACTTTAAAATTATCTCATTCAGTTCTTAATGTAAAATAAGAAGGGACAATAAAAACAATGACATTGTTAACAGCTTCCAAATAATAACAATTTAAGATCTCAGGCTCTTTTTTTATTACCAAACTGTATCCTTTTATTTATTTAATTAAGTAAGCTGGTTCAGCAATTTACAGGTATTATAAGGTTTACCTATAATTAATGACATAGATAAAATAGCAATAGTGCTAATCATTAATGGTTAAGTAAAGTGCTAGGTGAATAACAAGAGGATACATGTGTATATTTAAAATAAATAAGATGTGCACATGTATAAATAAATAAATATATATATATATATATATATATATATAAATAAACAAATAAATAAATATATATATATATATATATATATATATATATATATATTGATAAAAAGTTGAAGATATAATAAGTCTAACCTGCAGTCAAGCGAATGTATGGTGCATGGAAGAAGTGCAACCAGAAGCAACAGGGCGACAACCTTCATCTCTTATTCACTGAATCGTGATCTGCCCAAAATTCTTCATTTTTATATCGCTTTCCATTAATCGTCATTCAGAACCGATGAAAGCCGGCTTCAAGTACAAACACGCCCATAAACGTTTATTAAATTCGATTAAGTAAAAAAAAAAGACAAATATAAAAATCAAATCAGGATAAAAACGAAAACAAGGACGACAAAAAAAATTTTATTAGAAGTTTTTAAACTAAATTAATGAGATGATAATAAGGCAAAATTAATGAAGCAAATTTTGTAAGTTTTTCACGTTCTGATAACTTTCCAGTGCAGCTTTCTTATTCAACTAGACTTATTCTTGTCCAAAATTTCCTTTTTGGTGTCTTTTTCATTTGCTACTTCTTTTTTTAAACATTTTTCGTAGAGTATCTGAATATGCATCAGCTTTCACTAATACTCCATTCTGCAGCAGTAAATCAGCCGACGATTAGCTTGAATTTTGAAGTCTGGCGATGCTCTGTAGTAATTTGCAATATAACGATCACTTCAGCAGTTTAGAGGAATTCGATAGAAATTTTTTGAAGGAAGCAAGAACTACAGGTCTAATCTCTACTGTAGTTCTGGAATTTTCCTTTATTGATTTCAATTCCAGTTCTTACAGTTGTTAATGCTAAGGTTATTTCAGACTTCCAACTATTAAAATTACTTCCACTTCGCTAATTTTACTTTCTTGGTGATCACTAGTCAGTAAATTTATAGTTTTCAGAATGTTTATATCCTCCTAATCCACTTGGTATTGAATTTATTCCAAAAACTGCAATAAACATCACTAGAAATTCAGAACAGAAAAACTAAAAAAAAGATGACAAAACAGAAAGTTCAACTATTTCTCACTTTACTGAACAATCGTCACTAACTTTACTCTCAAGAACTTCAGTTTTCATAGATAAAGAAAACCGATTATCCCGAACAATCAAATAGTTAAACGATTTGGCCAAATTTCCTTTTATTTATTTATTTTTTTGACAGCACTTATTCTTGTTGTTGAGCAGTTAACAGCCTCTTCAGTTAACCACTAACGAATACATAATGACGATGATAGCTATAATTATGATTATGATGACGAAAAGTAGCTAGTAAAAGGAAATAAGAATAAGGAGAATGGCCGTGATAATGATGTTGATGAAATTTGAAGTGTACGGCAATGTTTGCATTCAAAAAGACTGTTCTAGCAACAAACAAGGTCTTTAAGGAATAAAATACAGGATGTAAGAGAAAAGAAAAAAAATTTTTTTTTTTTTTAAACAACAACAGCAATAAGCTAAGAGGGACGGTGAGGGAATAAAAGGAAAGACTAATTGCAAATCGAATCAAGAAAATTACCAATTTTATTGGACTTTCCTGTATTTTCGTCTCTAATTTTTGTCTTTTTTCTTCTTTCTTTTTTGTTTCAGTCATTTATCGAAGTGTATTGAACAGCAGCTTTCTAACCTGCTAAGGCAGTTAGCCTCTTCTTTTTTTCCCTCTTTGGATGGTATGCCGAGGCAAATAGCTGCCAACAAAAAGGGGAGAGATAAATTTAGGCGTCAAACCCGAACGCCTAGAAGCTGCATTAATTAAATTGATTCTGTTCATGATTCAGGAGATGTATCATGTGTCAATCTATCCACAGCAACATAATATGTTTTAACGTTTTCATTCTGTTATCGTATTCAATACCCAACAGGTTTATTTCACCACCACTACCATCACCATCAACAAAAAATAAAACAAAAAGAGCAATAATTGTAAAAAAATTAAAACAGAAAAATTACATTTAATTAAATCTTCAAATAAAAAGTAAACAGATTTTTTAACAGTAGTTTTCAATTGGTATTATTTCTTACAATGTATGCAGCTTGGTTTCATTAAATTAACAACGCTTTCTCTCCCCCTTTTTTTTTTACAGTTACTATTTTTTTCTCAATTTTTTTTGTTGATAGAAAAGTGAAAAAACATAGCTAAAATGTGCTTTTTTTTTTTGCTTTCTGTGCATTCTTTTCTATAATTTTTACCTGCAAAAATCTGTATCCTGATAAGTGCTCTTAAATTTATGCGAAAGAGACTTTATGAAACTAATTAAAAAATACAGCTGTGAAAATATATGCATACTTTAAAAAAAAAAAAATTCGTGCTTAAAAGAAAGTAGTCATAAAACAGGTGGCTAACAGGAAATAAATGCTGTTTTTGTTGATATGACCTTTGTTTTCTTTTTTTCTTTTTATTTTTTAACTTCAGTAAATTAACTGAATGACAAAAAAAGAAAAAATTCTTGAATCACATAAACATACAAACACACACACACACACAAAAAAAAAAAAACATGTCGAAAACAGTGTAAACAGTAAATAAAAATATCAAATGAAACGCATACATTTGAAAAATTTAGATTTCAGAGTTTTCTAAAAAAGCTGTTGTTTAAATTGAAGGTAAATTAAGAGATATTTTAGAGATAAGATATGTGGTTTGCTGTTGCTGGTGCTGTTGTAACCGTTGTTTCTGCCTGTTATCAGACGATGCTAATTTCTTCTCTGATCACTTTATTATAGGGAATTAAGAATTGCTTCACGTAACTGCTCCTTAACACACCAACCACGTGACGGATCCTCCAAGCTGGCTATACATCGTTCATCATAGTTGCAAGTTTGCTAAACAAATGTAAACTGTACTGCAATCCTTCAACTATTTATATCTGAGCAGTATCTTACCGAGCATCAGTACAATATTCTGTGGTTGTAAACTATCCAAAAAATAATGCTTGATTAAACAAATAAGCAGCGCAAAAAAAAAAAGTTTTTAACCCTCTCAACAAATGTTGAAACATTTTGGAAATCTATAATTACCCGAATTGAATCTGGATTGCATAACAACAAACAAAGATGCTGATCATCTTCACCAAAACGTAAGTCTTGGACCGATGCTACAGTTGGCGTTTTTAGAATACGTTGATGATGAGAAGGCGTTTTTTGCTTGCCTGCCATCGTTGAGTGTTGTTGCTTTAATAATGATGATGTTGCTGCAAAGATCAGATTAGCAAAAAGAAAAAAAAAACACTATGTTCCATCCTATTTGCTGGTTCCGAAAATTCATTAAAAATTTGTCAAAAAAAAAATGACCTTCTTCTGTTCAACGCTCTTCAAACACATTACTTTGATGCAAACAATAGTTAATGAAAATTGTACTTGTTTGACTGGCATGTTCAGTTTCAAAGTGGAATAATTGAGTATTGGTAAGATTGCATTCTTCAGAACATATTTCTGGTACAATTCTCAAAACGTATCTTGTGCCCGGTTTCAAATTTGTTAATATTACTGATGTCTGAAAAAAAAAATCAAAAGTTCTATTTATTGAATAAAAGTAAAAAAAACAGTAAGCTGTTAAAATTATTGAGCAGACGACTGTGGCGTTGTGATTTGTAGATATGTGATATCAATGAGATCTCAAAACACATGTGTATTTTTTGATCAGTACATACGAAATGGAGTATTTCCTTTTCGTCTATCCCCCGTCCAGTCCTCCTTCCCCCCAAATGCTCATTAGTTTATATTTTAGTCTCCTAATTTATTTACTCAATTAATTAACATTCAAGAGAAAAAAGCCGTATATACACACAATGAAGAAAAAATAGAAATAAAAAAGGAAGATCCAAAATAAAAAAAGGAAAATAAAGAACAAAGAATTTTTGAGTTTCCTCAATGCTTTTCACAAGATTTACTTGTTGAGGGTCTTCAACAACTACTTTTGTCCACTGATCAGCTGCCGGTAAGTCTTGTGTTGAATATAATATCGTTGAACCTAAAATAAAAAAGTCTTATACATGACTTAACTCAATGATCTACATTTGTCTAGTAAAAAACAAGAGAAGGGTAAAAAGCATGTTTTTATTCTAAATCTTTTTTTTGTTCTTTTTTTTTACCACCGTCGTTTGTCAGCAGTTTGTCGTATCTCCGCTTTTCAGTTATCTTTTTTCTTGTTTCTCTCGTTATCAAATACAATATTTATTTGTTTAGAGGTTTAGAAATCTTCTAGAAGTCTAGGATGGTTAAAAACGTCTAAACAGACATACTGACGTTGCTGAATGCACAACAAGCATTGCACTAATAATAGATTTTAAAAGTGTCCAGAATTGTTATACAAATTTGAAATAAGCAAAACAGTTGACGAAACTTTAGGTGCGACTGATCCGGAATATGTCCACCGTAATTGGCCACGACCAGGTGCAATATTCAAAAACTGTACGTTGAGAACGTTGGGACGTTGCGGAATCTGTTGCCTATTAAATCCTGTAAAAGATGTTGCGCTGTTTGGTGAAAGAATTTCATACATCGTTGGAAAAACTCAGTGAGCTGTCAAGAACAGCAATCAATTAAATTTTCGAAAAAAAAAGAAAGATTTCTTTATTTTCGAATTAATATTCAAATGAGTGAAGCAGGTAAGAAAAATTTAGAAGCAGAAAAAAAATTGCTTCAATAATCTCATAATCAAGTATGCAGTCAGATTAAATTTGGGTAAGATTAGCAACAATTTTTAATAAGTATACGACAACTAACCAATTGTATGAAATCGATAAATGTTCGGATTTGATATTTCTTTGCCGTCATTTTGTCGAAGAGCAATTTTAACAAAATATGAAGTGAACAGTTCAAAATTTGACAACGGCAAAGTGATCTCATTTTTGGTTGTAAAATGATGTTGCCATTTTGATTCTGGTAATTTACTGTCATTTGTTATATAAACATCGTAACCGCCAATGTTAATTTCATTTAAAGTTCTAAAAATAAAAAAGAATAATCATTGCCGACAGACAGTGACAAAAAAAAAAAGCAGCTACGAAGTGTCTAATTAAGTGATCAAACAATTAGACTTAGTATTGTTTTTTGTACATCAGTCGGATATAAAAAAAAATAAATAAATTTCGATCTTCAAATGCAACTGAAACACACTTACGGCTTCAAGTTCCATTGAAGTTGTAGTGTATCACTTGGAGACAAAAATACCACTTTGACATCTTTTATTGGTGAAAAAACCACTGCAAAACAGCAGCAAAAAAAAATTAATTTTTTTGCTGTGTATAAATATAACAAATCTTTTCCCAAAAACTTCCTTTAATTCAGTAATGTAAAAAAAAGACAACTGTTTTTTCGCTACTTAATTGAATGTACAATGAATTACTATTTTCTTCAGTATACGTCCAAAACATTACCAGTAAACACAGTGACGATAATTTATTTATGCGAATAAACAAAAAAAAATTTCCCCGTCTTTATTTATCACTAGAAAAGTTGCATGTAGACTGATAAGGTTGAAGAATTATTCTTTGAAGACTGACAATAAAAAGACACTTAAAACTAAACATAAAACAACCTCTGGACGTTCGAAATCTAAACTGTCCACTTTCAATGGTACTTCCTTGACTAAGACTAACGTGTACCTTCATACGATAGTCCGTATCGCTAAATTGAAAAATGATTATTACTTTCCATGTTCACTGACATACAGATGAAGTTAAAAGTGTGTCATAAATTTGGGTTGAATAACAATCTAAGAGCAAAAAATTTGAAATCGAGTTTTTTTCAGGACTTTCAGTAGCCACAGTTTACCTTTTTAAGTCATTAAGTGTAACGCCGTTTACGTGACCACTTAAATGTACAGAGTTCCATGGTCCACGATCGTTTTCTGCATAATATATTGTATAAGCTGAAAAGCAACAAAATTAAACTTTAATATTGATGGCAATAAGGCTGCTCAAGCGGTGAAACAAAAACTTGTAATATACGTTCAAATTAAATTGCTGCGAATTTTGAAATTTTTCCTGGTAACAGAAAAAGTAACAGTAGTAAGTAAATAAAAATAAAAATAAATGATGAAAAACAAATGAAATGAAAAACCTTTTATATGTGGTCGTTTATCGGCGGGTACAGTCCAAGTAAGATTAACGACACCCTGTAGAGGAGCGCGGAATAAACTGCTGATCTGAATATGATTGATTCTGAAAAACTGTTCACCTGAAAGACAATAATTAGTGAAGTGTTAACGTCTTAAAACAATAACTGAACATCTAAATGTCAACTAATGTACCAGAAAAAACTTTTGATTAAAATATATTGTTGATAAACTGGCAACACACAATAACCCCCCCCCCCTCAAAAAAAAAAGTCAATACTAAGCTTGAAAACCGATATAACTCAATATTACATATATGCATTTCTGAACAACTTTTTGAGTCTAAACTGTTGGGCAACGGTGACGGTGGAAGTAAAAAGTCTACCAACTTGATGGCATAATAAATTCAGCAACCGTTGCAGATGATGATACTCTTTCTGGATCTATAGCACTTCTCACGGTTATCTCATATTTTTCACCTGGATTAAGGTCTCCAAGTTCTAGCGAGTTTGTTGGTGTTTGAATCTAAAACGTAACCATATAAACCTGTAGCTCTACTGAATGTTCTGATTGTTCTACTGTTACTTTTGGTACTGTTTATTGCTGCTTTTACTGTTTTATATGAGCATTAAAACATAGTTGATAATGCACCACTGTTGTTCCATCGCTATAATAGCCGCACATCCGGCCAAATTCTATAAACTGCACAACTACGTGCCAGTAACTTTGCTAATTTTTTGCACAATTTTTTCATTTATTACGGAGACTTTTAGATGACAGAAAAAAATACTTGCTTGCTGGCGAAAAAGTTGATTACCAGTAGCAGAGGTTAATTGCTTCACGTCCACTAAGTAGTAGAGACCTACAAAATAAAAAGTCAAAAAAAAAAAATAAATCCTCGTATAAATCTATAGTTTTAAATAATTGAGCACTGTGCAAAGAGCAAACTACAATAGCGATAAATCAGCAGAATATTGACAGCTATCAAATTTGTAAGTATTTCGCTTTTTTTTTCTGTAAGGCAAAAATAACGTTTTGTCTCTAACGCTATATTCTGCAAATAATTTCCGACGGCCAAAGATTACGCAAATAAGCCACTGACGAATCTAATCAAGAAGAAATTTTCTTTTTTTTTTCTTTGGGAATTATAAATTAAAAAAGCCAAAAACAGTTAAAAGCACTACTTTTTATTCAAAAGTGAATAGTATCTGCACGTTTCGCAAAAAATAACCTGAAATGTTGCCATTACTTGGTGACCATTCCAAAAAAGCCCCAATTGGACTAACAGCAACAATGTTGAAATCCAACGGTGGTGACAAATTGATAGGCGTCATCTCGGTGTTTTCTCTAAGTACTGTCAGAATCAGTGGTGCTGACCATTGTTCTAAAAGTTTTCCATTTTGTTCGGCTTTCACCTGCAAAATATTCTACTGTCCACAATGATTTTAGTGCTTTTAATGGTGAAGAGTGTTTGTTTGAGTGGGTGGGTGTTCTGTGGGTGAACTTCCGCTTATTTGTGTACGAATATCTGTATCCTACGCCGTTTCCGGTTTACGAACTTTTGCAAAAAAATGAATAAGAAATTGCTCGAAAGGAATGACTCCTTAATTCTTTTTTCTTGTTGAATTTGTAAATTGGTAAAATGGAATGTTAAAATAAGTTTCTTTCCCTGAAAAAAGGTAAAAAAGGGAAAGCAAACAAATTAATAGTTTTTTTCTTTTGATGTTTAATTGGTTCCACTACTTCATTTTAAACAATAAAGGTGTCAATTAAAAGTAGTTTGAAAGAAGCCATGGCAGAATGCAGGCATCATTTTGCTAATTCGCCGTTCCTAGCTATTTATGAAGCATATTTCTAAGATTATGGGAATAAATTTTGGGAGAAGAAACAGGTAATTTCTGTTGAAAAATATTTACAAAAACTTTTAATTTTTCATTGTTTTACTCCTTTATTTCTGAGAAAAAATTGTTTAAACAATAATTTATTTTTGACCTGAAAATGCAGTTCATCGTTGTTCCTTAAGTCATCGATTTTGAGGCTTACGGATCGATTGGTAGTTCGAGTAAATTTCCATCTTGACATTGTTGTGCCATTGAAAATTAGGTAACGAACGATGAAACTAACACCTAACAGACAAAAAACTTCACTTTATTTTGGTAGTTCTTAGCTTCTTCAGCGATTAAATTAAGTAAAAGAGGATAAAGAGGCTTCAATTGTAAAAATACTCTCTACTCGTCTCGCTACACTATTATTTCACTTTTTTACTTGTAAGTTTGATTTCAAAACTTCTTCACTGGATTTCAAAAAGACGATTTTTCAGCTATATCTTTTTATTTATAGAAAAAGGTAGTACTGTTACTGCACGCAGTAAAAAAAATACTGAACTCTTTCAGGATTTCTTTGGGAAAAAAATGGATTTAATGGACACACTTTGCGCACTTTGTAGGCAAAGTAAAATCATAAAAAAATGAGCGCACTCAGAATGAACTTTTTTTATTGATGGCTGAGATTTTGGGCTAGTTGCTGAACCTTTTTCAAGGAGGACTAGCGGTACTGGCTTCAGTAACTATGGCTCAATGACAGACAGTTATATGACGCCTTTGCACAGTGGAAAAATAGGAAAAAGCTGAAACAGTGAATACGTCGCGAGCTAGCTTAATAGCAATAAATGCTTGAACATGAAGGTGTAGTGTTCCTACCACCCCCTGCAAGACTTTCCTCAAGTGGTTATCAGTATTTTTGAAACTGAAATTTTAATTCATGAGAAGAACTTGTGCGGTTTAGGATTTGTAGGATATGCCCATAATAAAAGTTTTAAAGCTAAATCTGTGAATTCTTAAACAGCTGAAGTGTCAAGGCCGTTGTTACGCTGACTTTACACGGCTTTTTATGTCGACAAATAAAACTGAATTTATGAGCTGCTAAGACAGAAGACGAAAAATGGCAGATCTTTATAAACGAACTTATTACGTTGCTATCCCTAAAAAATAAACTGTGGTCAAGCCAAGTGGATATATCATTTGTAGCGTCCAGCAAGAGTCATTATGAAGGCCAAGATTTAAAACTTTTATAATGGTTATTAAGTAAGCAAAAAAAAGCTGCAGTCTGTCCAGTTACTGAGACAGCTTAATTCTGATTATCAAATCATAAAAATGATTTAACGGAACAGTAAAAGTAATTTAGTGAACAAAAAAAAAAAAA